AAAAAATTAAATATTATATTGTTTGACGTATTTTCATATTATGGGGGTGTCAAAGTTTGAATAAACTTAAAATTTAAACACTTGTAATCTTATTTATTTGAACCGACATGAGATTCTAAAATCATGACTGTTCAGACAATCGTAACGAAGTGTAAGGCTACTTGTAGACTCTTTTCTCTGCCTTGGAGATTAAGGACTTAAATAATTTTCATTGCAGTAACTTAATAAACTAGGATTTGAAAAAGATATTGGAATCGAAAATGACGAAGTAAACAACAAGGAGAGTTGTGCAATTTACTGTACTTAGAATTAATTGAAAAGAAAGATCACTACAGTTGTAAAACTCAAGAAAATTTGATTTTTTTATGAAAAAGGATAAAATGATAATTTGTCATTATAGTGCGGGTTAAAAATCTGTATTTTTCTAGAAATCAGATGACGGAACGGATCTCACCGTTGAATTCATCTCACAAAATCTAGTTACTCTATCAATTTTCGTTGAATTCCGAAATAGTCAAGTTTTTGCATTTTTCGAGACGATCAGGTGACTTAAAAAACGACCCCACAAATAAAATTTTAAAATTTTTTAAATAATTTAAAGGAAGTTTATATAAAAATATTTTGAACTTAAATCAAGACAAAATTTAATTGTTTCGGGGCGAAAACGGACTCAAGAATAAAAACGTGTGGCATAACATGGACCGAGCATTAAAGGATATAAATACGAGACAAAAATCTGATTTTCTCCAAACTCTCTGCTGGGTTTAATGTTGGGAAGAGGAAGAGAGAGAAAGGAAGAAAAAAATCAATATTCAAGTCTTCTCTCTACGATCTACGGAGTTCCGCCAGTCGGAATCTTTCGGGCCAAGTATTAAAGTCGATTTACGCAACAAGGGCTACACTTATATAACAAAAAGGACAGGTTTCACCGAAGTTCAAATGCGAGATTTTAGGGAAATTTTGGTTTTGGGCGAGATTTTGATTCTTACGCTTCAAGAGATAGGGTTTTCATCCTAACTAGGTTTATTTTCAACCTAGGATAATTGTATGAAATGAGTAGGTTGTTAGATATATTTAACACTTGCCTATGATTGTGGTTTGATGAAATGAGAAATAAAAATGGGTAAATTCAATGCTTATATGAATTGATAATTAGAAATTGCTTGCATGTGATTTTTTAGAAGTTTGGATAATTTGATATGTAGAAAATATTTAATGTGATTTCTTGAGTTATGTGATGAATTTGGGCATTTTATGTGATTACATAATTTGATGCCTTGAAGGTGTTTGATTAAATGCCTATTTGAAATAAAGTGTGTTATTTCATAAGATTATGTGATAACATTCTTGGGAATTGTAGTTGGATTAAATGTTGATATATTGACTTTGGATGGATTATGGTAATTATAGGCTTTGGATATAATTGCTCATAGAATGTGTTGAAATGTGGTTGAAATAGTTCATAAGGCATTCATTACATATTAGACATAATATTGATATTGCAATGGTTTATTACATTGCATATGCACGGAAACATCGCATTTGGTGGGTGTGTGTGCATAGTTTGATCAAACACCATTCTTGGTGGATGATACTTGGGCTCAGGAAAAGTTGGATCGAGGATTCGACTAAGTCGCATAGTTTGCATTGAAAATAGGGTCGGGATTAATAAGAAGGGCTAGATAATCCCTTGGGTGCAAGACCCGGTTACTTAGGATACGCACTCTCTTGGTTTAGTCCATGAAGTGTGTCAATGTACGCGAAACTTTTGGTGAAAGTCCATGAATTCCGTGTTGATTGAGTACCTGTTGGTGTATGTCCTTAAATATCCACCCTAAGAAAGACCTAGAGATTTTTTAATGGTCATTTGAGGTATAACATAAATGACAGATTTATACACATTGATATTGCATGTGTTACGAGAGTCGGTAAGGGCTCGGGTTGAAGTGTATGAGTGAGTCTCATTTCATTTTATGGCATGACATGGTGATTTCCAATATTGAATTGTATATTTTTTATTGAAATGGTTGTTGCTTGTTGAATGTTGCATGTGGATATTTTATATGCACCTAGGTTGGGGAGTAGTCTCTTTATGAGATACCTTATTGAGTGTGGCTCACCCTTTATGGGAAAACATTTTAGGTGCAGGTTATGCACGGGCTTGTAATCGGGGCCTCAAGAATGAAGAAAAGCTGACTTGTGGCTCTTAAACCATCTTTTGTAAAACATTCACTAAGTTAGTTTTTGGGCATGTAATATATGTAAAAGAATTGTAATCGAACTTATATGGACTATTTTTAATGTAAAATTGCATATTATTAAATAAGTATGGTTAAATGGACTTGGTGTGGTAAATGTTCTATGATTGTACAGGTTGTGTTTTGGGTAGAGCTTCTCGTACAAAAGAGACTCTGCCCGAATTTTGTAAAATTATGGATCCCAGTAAATGGGACATAACGACGTGATATCGAGTTACATGGTATTCACAGGTATTCCGCGGAATGATGGGTGATCAACGGGTTGACAAAGGACCCCCGGTTTTTGGGGCATCCCAACAATAATGGTTACAAAGTAAATAAAAAATGCAAAAAATAAGGTAAGCAAGGAAGATACTAGCTATATGTAGTGTTATGTGTAGATCGACGTTCTTTTCTTTGTAGCTTTATCTTTGGTATTTATATGGGATTGTTTTTAACCGTTAAAGCCATCTTGTTCGACCATGATCGTAATCATGACCTCTTTTCTCAACATTCTCAGATGAGCACCAAAATGCCAGTGACTAACGACTCATAATGTCACGTCTCTTCGTTTTTCGTGATTCAAGGAGTACTATCCATCTTGTCTTATTTGTACTCTTTCTGACTTCATTCTAACCATTGGATCTTTTCATGTGTCGCTCTAGATTTTTTAATATTTTGGTGTAAACGCTACCCCTTCCCCAAACGACGCAATAAAATGCTTCACATTCGACTTGTCATTTTGGTTCTTTGAATTTGATTCGCTTAGTAGTCACCTTGTGATTGGTCACAATACTCACCATATGTGACTTAACTTTCACAAGCAAACGTTTAGCCTTATTCTTGTCCTTTTAAATATGTAGGAAGCAACTGACACACGATCCGTCCATATCTTTTCATCATTGAGATAGTTCATTCAATTTGTCTATATATATCTCCTCATCAGACTTGATCTTTGCCATTACTTTGGTTTTCAACCTTTCTGCTTCTACAATGGTGACTCCTCGCACTACCACCCTTAAAGCAACCCTCCCACAGGTTCCTACTAATAACATCAACCATCATACATTTATCCCATTTTTCAACTCTTCACCGTTGGTGATGCACCTCAGATTGCTTTTATGGGCCCCCCTCCAAATGATTTTTGCCTTATTTATCCTGGTTCTCGTGTGTCCTTTCCATTCAAGTTTGTAGAACCTCCCAATGGTCAAGCTAGAGTTCTAGAACTCCCATTCATGGATGGAAATCTCCTACTCCAATATGGATGTCATGGGTCACACATGTTAGAGTGGCCAAAGGCAACTTGTAGCAATATCTTGGCATCTATGACGCCATAGACCTTAGCACCATCCAAATGGCCCTTGATAGGCAGCTACTCAGCACTGCTCTTCTTCTTTGGTCTATGGCGAACAATGTTTTTCATTTCTTCTTTGGTATGATAGGCCCGATGATTTATGATATATCGACTCTTCTTGGTCTTTCTCCTTTTGAGACTGAGGTTAACACCCTGCTTTCTCATACCAATTGATCCTCCAAATAAACCAATTGTTGCCTATTCTCTCTTCATCACAGCCTGTCGCGATGAAGAAGGTGCTAAGGTCACAAATAAGGAGTATATTTCTTTTCTACTGGTTTAACCATTTTTTTTCTTATTTGCCTCCTCTTATAAAATACCAAGGAATATATCTCGTTGGCTGTCGGGAGTTGTCTATGCCCTAGCCCCTGTTATGCTCGCTCATCTCTATCGTGGAATGGGTGAGATAGTAAGTTCAAAAATTAAAAGAGGCTTAGGTCCCTTTTGGGTTCTCCAACTATGGCTTCATGCCTACTTTCTGAAGCTTTTAGTTACTCCCCCTGAGGATTCAAATACTCATTATGGTTGTTTGTACGCCACGGCCCCTGCAAGGAGTAGACTTTCGCAGATTGTCTTTTCTTCCTTTATAAGTTGCCCAATCCACGACCTAACTGCATGCCATTTGATCAGAACCGAGGTCATGAACGGTTCATTTATTATCTTGGGAAAGCTCCGCTTGATGAATCTTTTTCTCACGCAAATGTTTGATTCTCCTATCTTTTCCTTAAAGACATACACTGTGGCATTGGGCCAACTTTGGGTTCCAATGCTCACCACAACATTGAAATCTACATGTCCAAGTAGTTGCACGCCAATTTGCTCTCGTGTGACGCGTTCCTTACCTTTTTGCCACAACTCTCAATGTTGATCTCACTAACCAGCCCACTTTGGCCGATGTTAACGTTCGGGCACTCTTCGTTATTCCTTTTCTCATCGGTTGTTCCACATGAATTCTTTTACAATGGCATTTGATACCACTAAGTTGTTCAATTCATGGTGGGATTGTTATGTCTCCAGGCAGTTTAAGGATAACACAGCTTCTACTTTTTCCTGACTAAAGTTTCTGGACCATGCCCAACATTCTCCATAGGTGAGTTCTATGCGGATTTCTCCTTTGTCATCTCTTCAACCTCAGGTTCCTCCTAGGCCCAACCCTGTCATTGTAGTCAACTTGTCATATTTAACCAGTTCACCTTTTTCCCCTGGTTCTGAACATAGAGAAAAACAATGACGGTCTGGCAACGTTGCTGATGAACCAAATATAGATGCCTAACTTGATGAAAATATAAATGATTCCCCCTTTATCCATTGTGTGCACTAGCGTGGTGGGACTTCCTCTTTCACTTTTATATCTACTAATACAGACCCTTTTCAGGTCGACCGATGTTCATGCTGCAGCGGCCGCTTCCATGGCTGCTGCCCCTTTGTTTTGGCAACACCCTCTTGAAGAAGTGATTACTAAAACGACAGATGTTAACATTGTTGACAACAATCAAAAACATCAATCGAAGCTCTCTGATGCCCAAGTAAAGCTTGATATTACCAAGGCCGTTGTGCCAGCGCCAACTACTACCCCTTCCACAAAGTCTAAATTCTCCTCTATTTTGGCTTCCCTGAAGGTTCGTCTCTCTGTTGAACCCTAGCCTTTCTGGAGCTCAGGATGGACTCTTGACCCTGACTTTGAGAACAATTGTGAAATGATGACTTTGGTTGTTGAGAGTCACCTAGACCTCCTAATAGGAGAGTCAAATCTTCTAGAGTCTCTACTTCAAATAGTTAGAGTGTTTTCCACATCTCCCCTGCTTGTTGAAAAAGACTACCAATTATTGGCTCGTCTTGGTGATGAACTCCCAGCATTTCTTCAGAAAGCTGAGCCCTTATATCAGAAATGCTTAAACTATCTAGTTGATGGGATTGCCTGATTAACTTGTGAGAATGCATTAACTAGTGCACAAATCTTTCCCATCACCTCGTCTCATTTTATGAAAATCTTTTTGAAATAGACTGCCATATTGCAGAACTCAAAGCACGTCGTGTGACCCCACTAGAGGAGGCCGCTTCATTCAATGAGTAATTTGAAGAGTTGAAAGTCGAAGTGTATGATGGTGTGGCCTATGCTTATGATAATTCTAATCATGCTCACTCTACTTTAGCCAAACTTATTGTCATTGATGACTATTTTTTCCAATTAGAATCTAAATTTTTCAACATTTTAAGACCTCTTGAACAATAATAAATAAAGCTAGACTTTTTTGGCCCTTATTTTTTTTTTTTTATTTTAATTAAATTGTCTTTTCATTTTTGCAATATGACAGTTAACCTAACTATGACTTAATTGACATTTATTACCTTTTGAACACATAACCTTCATTCGGTTCTTATGCATGATCATAGACATTCTTCATGCCTTGAATGATGACGTTTCATATTTCCAACCACCCACTCCCATAAATATTGGCAGTTTCTGATGTGGAGCCATTAATGAGCTTTAGCATTCCCCGACCAATATATACTCTCGAATGCTTCATTCATTGGAATACGCCAAATCTGCTAGACATGTTTCTTCTATTAGGCAATCCCCCTGTTCTACCTGACCTAGAAAAGAGAATAGGGAAAGATTGTTTTATTGATAATCAATCCTTTCCTCCTTTGGCCTTAACTAACATTGTTCCTCTTTCTTTCTTAACATTTATATTTGGATTTACCAACTTATTTCATGTTCCTCCAAAATATCGATACTCATTGTAGAGCTTGCATAGCTCTGTTTGTCTATTTTGAGGGAACCAGACATATGCAAGTGGTACTATGGATTTGACTGGGTGTCATAGACGTTGGAAGAAGATATTGAGTGTGGCTTTTGGTGCATCCAAGGATCCTTACATACGAGTTCCCTCTTTTGCACTTCAAGTAGCCAAGTGAGGAGAGTGCTTATGGTGTACACCCCTTAATCCATCTGTAATTGAGAGATCGGGAGGATTACCTTGCTAGAGGTAAACTCTTGAAGGAATAATCATCAATACACTCCTTCCTAATTTTTCCTCTTCTCTTACTCCTTTCTTAGTCTCTAGCGCTGAAATTATCATCTTCAAATTGGGACATACATTTTTCAAAATAGGCCAAATTTTTTACTTCTCAACAAACTTTAAGAAAATCTGGCTATGGGTGTACTTACAAAACATGTCCAACTCTCTTGGTTGCAATGCAAACCCTAACATGCCTATGTATAGCATACAAAGTGGTGATTATAGGCCCAACCGTCTAGGTAGTACAAAACAACAATCAGATTCACCCACAAAGCAACCCATAACCTGCTGACCATGGTTGAGTCCCTCTACCATTCTCACATATGCTAATCATGACAAGGGGCAGTTGTAACTGTTGGCTGATCTAGCCAACAACTACCCATAACTATTGTGCATGCTGAGTGCACATGCTAGCATCTCTCTCATGCAGTGCACATGCCAGCAACTGCATAGAACTGCCCTGCATGCTGTGTACATGCCAACAACCATCTGGAACCGCTACCATCTACAATACACATGCCTCAATTGCTCGAAACCTCCTCACATGACGTGCACATGTCGTCCTTGCAAGCCACAATACATGATTTGCCCACAACCATTGCCCATGACTTGGTCTTTCAAACTAACATTGCCCCATAATTCGAGCCCACTAGCTAGCCTTGCTTGCATGCTTGCTTGTGCCCAACGTGCCTATGCATGAGCTGCCTCCCCCAGCCATGCATGAAGCTTCAATAAACTCACTGATTGTGCCTAATCGTGCCCATGCATAAGCTACCTTCCTCATCCATGCATGGGGCTTCAATCAACCCGTTAACTTTGTTCCTTGCAAAGACCATGCCTTGATCGGCACCTATATGTTGGGTAAGTCCAAATTGATGTAGTATAATCTCCTTTGTCATTCGAATAACATCAGCATAATTGATTATCTTCATTGGAATGGTCTCAACCCACTTGGTATAATAGTCGGTGGCCAGAATAATAAAAGAATATTGTCTTGTTGATGAAGGGAGAATCTTCCCAATTAAATCCATGGCCCATTCTGGAAATGGCCAAGGCATCACTATAGGTTGCATTTGTATTGCTGGTACTCTTTGGATAGGCCCATGACGATAACATGCCAAAAAAATTTTGCATACTCAATGCAATCTTTTAGGATATTTGGCCAATAATAGTCATATCTCCTTATTAGCATCACATTTTTATGCCAACCTAATGAGCTCCCCATATCCCTTTGTGGCATTTAGTCATCACCAACATGGCATCTTCATTGCCAATACACCTTAGTAGCAAGTCATCATATACTCTCTTTTTGTACAATTATCAACCATAAGTATGTAGTTAGAAGCTCTCCTTCTTGTGACCTCCTCAACACTTCTACTCAGATTTTTTAGGAATTATATGATCTCGTACCTCCAATCCTCATCTTCCACTTCCATGACCAACTCTTTGAAATCCATGCCCCTTATTTTAATGGATGAAAATATTCTCCTTTGAATCTTAATCAGCTGCTTATCCATGCCCCAAGAGATTCTTAGACCTAATCCCAATTGAACCAAACTATTAACTTGGAAATTCAGCTCCCTGGGGACTAGTTGCAAGGTCACGTCATCTAAGTTTGATAGTAAAGACATCATGATGGAGTGGAAAGGCATAGTTCCCAGATTTTGCACTAAAAACTTCTCATTAACTAGTTGATGACTACTTGGGAGTCATCCATGATTTCTATAGTAGATCCATCCATTCGTAGAAATACCTCTAGCCCAATAATTAATGTCTTGTATTCGGCTTGGTTGTTGGTACATTCAAAGTCTAGTTTGAACTAAAGTTGGGTTTCGTAACCCTTGGGTGATATTATGATGACCCTGGCCCCTACAAAATCTCGCATCTGTGACCTATTGAACTGTAACTTCCAAAGCGTTAGAGACATCATGGGGCACTCCTAGCAAACTAAGTGAATTTTGCGCATCTTGTTCAACCTCCACATAAGGGTGGTCTTCTAGAAAGCTGGCCAACGCCTGAATTTTGACCGCACGCTGTGGTAAATAGTGAAATGAAAACTCCATTAGGGCTAATACCCATTTTTTGATACAACCCTTGATTAGCGGCCTTGTCAGCTTGTACTTAATTGTATATGTTTGTGCAACAATATACACCACACCTAAATTATGTATATTCTTAATTTTTGTGATGCAATAGACAATGCTAAACAAAAATTTCTTGATCGGCTTATAACAATGCTCAACCGAAATCAGAATCCTACTTAAATAGTAGATAGCTTGTTTTTTGCCCATATTCTTATTTGGGCCAGCAAACAATAAATGGACTCATGTGCAGCTGATAGATACAAAAGCAATAGCCTACCCTTTATAAATAACATAAGAACTAACGGGTTCACCAAGTAATCCTTGATTTGTTGAAAGGCCTCTTCCTGATGCGCTTCCCAGTTAAAGTTATCCATGTCCTTTAACTTGAGGAGCGATGAAAATGCCTGCATCTTCCCCACACAGTTGGCTATGAGCCATCTAAAAAAGTTGATTGACCAATTAGGCACTACAACTCCTTCTTGGTGTTTTAAGGGGAGGTCTCTAAAATCACCCTCGCCTTGTTCTTATCCACTTCGATTCCTTTCTTGTACACCTGGAATCTCAAAAAATTCTCGACAGTTACTCCTTCAACTAGTGGATGCGCATCTTTTCAAAGATGGTTCTCAAGTTGCTCAAGTATTTTTCCATCTCTTGTCTCTTGACTATGATGCCGTCAATGTATACCTCCACAATCTTGCTAATCATGTCATAGAAGATGGTATTCATGGCTTTTTCTTAGGATGCCCCCGTGTTCTTTAACCTTAACGGCATGACCCTCCACTCAAATATCCCTATCGACCTAGGGCATCTAAAGGCGGTCTTGTGTTTGTACTCCTTGATGATGAAAATTTGATGATATCTTGTGTTGTCATCCATGAATGACATGGTGATGCTCATAATCATAGCATCCACTAGTTGGTTGGGCATTGGTATGGCATATTCATCTTTTGGGGTTGTCGTGTTGAGGTTCTGATAATTCCAACATAACTTGATTTTTGTCGTTCTTCTTCTTCACAGGCACGATGTTAGATACCCACTAAATATATTGTACAACCTTGAGGCAGTTGGCTTCCATGAGGCGCTCGATCTCTTCCTAAACCAGTAGAATAACTTCGCGGGACATTAATCTCGAGACATGTTGAACCAGCCTATATCCCTCCCTAATAGGTAATCGATGCTTGACCAAAGCTGGATCCAATCTTGACATCTCTCCATAGCTCTAGGCAAAGTTGTCCCGATATTCCCTCAATAACTTTATGAGTCGTGCTTAGAAGTTCAGTTCGAGCAGTTTGTTGATAAAGGTTGGCCTATGCTCTCTGAACCTCCAAGGTTGACTTCAAAGAAGTAGTCTTGGACTTTAATGAGATCATCAAGCTTGGCTAGAGAGGCAAAAATTTCATCTAATATGATAAAATTTACAGAGGCGAAAGTCTCATCTCCCTCTTCCACGCATTCCACCAAGTTGATGGTACCTTGATGGTTATTGTATATGACCCTTTTCTCTGCTAGATA